CACTTGAGCTGAGATTTGCATGCCTTTTTTGAGTGTTTGCACAAGCGTTTTTGGGCATCTGAGGTTTGAGCGTTGTTTTTTATGAATTATTTTTAGCCAATGGAAAACTAGTCACTAGGGGAAAAATGCATGTTTTTAGATGCTTCAATTGAAGTCTATTGGAGATATAAATATGTTCTCACCCCTCTTCAGACCTCTATATCATAGGAGGTCTATATATGTCTTTTAATATGATGGTTCCTGTCTGCTGCATGGATCCATACATAAGCAGGATATCTCCACTCTTAGTAAAAAATCCTCCTCCTCTACTCCTCTGTGCTCATATATAAAAGGAAACAGATCTAGTGTTCTCTGTGTACTAATTTTATTAAAAAAACTGCTCTAAAATTGTAAAGGTATACAGTTTTAAGAATGCATGCACCGATTTGGCATTAGACCTCACTGATCCTCCACATTGACATTGCCAGTGGCTTCTGGAAAAATGTGATGAAGTCAGGAGCGGACTGACCATTCGGGCATTCAGGCATTGCCTGAGGGCCCGGGGTCAGTAGGGGGCCCATGAGGGGATCACTCTCCAGTGACAGTGTGGGGAGTGGAGGAGGAGGCAGTCTCAGATCCCGACCCAGAAGTAGTTCACCTGTCACTTCACCTGGTGGCAGAGTGAGTCGGGTGAAGGGTCCGGACACTGTGCTGGTGATGGAGCCGGTGGGCAGTGGGAAGGTGAGAGGCATATCATCCACGGGAGCAGGGTGTTCACCACACACACCCTGCGCACACACCCTTCCCCCATGGATGATATGTATCGGGAACAAAGTCGGAGGTGATTGGTGCAGGGGAGAGGGACAGTGACAGCACCGATCTCCCTGCATGGATTTCAATGAAGCAGCTGAAAGCTGCGGGAGGGAGAGACTTCCAGCTGCCTCGTTGAAATTCATGAAGGGAGATCGATGCTGTCACTGTCCCTCCACTGCACCGATCATCCCTGACTGTGCATTGGATTTCCCTCCTGGGCTCCCCCCTCTGTGCTCCTCAGCCCCCCTCGCAGGTCTCTGATGCCTCTTCTTCTCTGACAGTGTCCACCCCCTCCCCCCATCCTCCACTGCAGAGCAGAGGAGAGCGGATCTGCTCTGCCTCTCCTGTCCAGATCAGTCTGCAGCTCTGTGATTTTCTCTCTCTCCCCCTCCCCTCCCTCTCTCCCCTCACCCCCCTCTCTCTCTCCCTCTCTCTCTCTCCTCTCCACCGCCTCTCTCTCCCTCTCTCTCTCCCTCCCTCTCTATCTACCCCCCCCTCTCTCTCTCTCTCTCTCTCTCTCTCTCTCTTCCCTCTCTCTCTCCCCTTCCTTTTCCTTCCTTCCTCCTTTCTTCCTTCCTTCCTCCTTCCATTCCTTCCCTCCCCTTTTCTTCCTTCCTTCTTTCCCTCCCTTCTTTCCTTCCTTCCTTCACCCATTCCCTCCCTCCCTTTTCTTCCTTCCTCCCTTCTTTCCCCTCCCCTTCCTTCATCCTTCCTCCAGCCATTTCCTTCCTTCCTCCATCCATTCCCTCCCTCCCTTTTCTTCCTTCCTCCATCCCCCTCCCTTTATTCTTTCCCTTCCTCCTTCCCTCTCTCCCTTCCTTCCTTTTGCTCTCCCTTCCTCCCCTTCTTTCCTTCCTTCATCTATTTCATCCCTCCTTTTTCTTCCTTCCTTCCTTCCTCCATTCCCTCCCTCCCTTACCTTCATTCCTTCCTCTATCAGCTCCGTTCATTTTTTCCTTCCCTTCCTCCTCTTCCTTCAATCATTCCTTCCTTTCTCCCTTCCTCCCTCCCTTAATTCCTTCCTCCATCCCCTCTCTTCTTCCCCATTCTTTGCTCCCTCCCCACCTTCCTTCCCTTTCCTCCATCCATTTCCTTCCTTCCTCCATCATTTTCCTCCCTCCCTTCATTTTTTTTCCTTACCTTCCTCCTTGTCTTTCAATCATTCCTTCCTTCTTTCCCCCTTTCCCTTCCCTCCCCTTCCTTCAATCCTTCCTTCCTTTCTACCTTCCTCCCTCCCTTCATTCCCTTCCTTCCTTCCTTCCTTTCCTTCATAGCGGGCCCTTCATTCTTTCCCTCCCTCCACTCCTTTCATATCCTTCCTTCCTCCTCTCCTTCCTTTCCTCCCTTTCATTCATTTGTTCCTCCATTCTTTTCCTTTATTCCTCCATCCATTCCCTCCCTCCCTTTTCTCCCTTCCCTTCCCTTCTCTTCCCTTCCTTCCTTTCTCTATATATTCCCTTTTCTTACTTCCTTCCCTCCTCCCCTCCTTCCTTCTTTCATTCCTTTCTTCCCCTCCGCTTCCTTCATCCCTTCCTCCATCCATTCCTTCCTTCCTCCATCCATTCCCTCCCTCCCTCCCTTTTCTTCCTTCCTCCATCCCCTCCCTTCATTTTTTCATCCCTCCCTCCTCCTCCTTTAATTTCCCTCCTTCCTTCCTCCCTTCCTTTCTTCTTACTTCCTTCCCTCCCTTCTTTCCTTCCTTCATCCATTCCCTCCCTTCCATCCCTTTTCTTCCTTCCTCCATCCATTTCCTTCCTTCCTCCATCCATTCCCTCCCTCTCTTTTCTTCCTTCCTCCATCCCCTTCCTTCCTTCCTCCATTTCCTCCCTCCTTTTTCTTTCTTCCTTGCTCCCTCCCTTTCCTTCATTCCTTTCTCTGTCCATTTTCTTCTTCTTCCTTCACTCCTCCATTTCCTCCCTCCCTTTTCTTCCTTACCTTCATTCCTTCCTCTATCCCCTCCCTTAATTTTTTCATTCCCTCCCTCCTCATCCTTCAATCATTCCTTCCTTTCTCCCTTCCTCCCTCCCTTCTTTCCTTTCTTCCTTCATCTATTTTATCCCTCATTTTTCTTCCTTCCTTCCCCTCCCCTTCCTTCTTTCCTTCCTTCCTTCCTTCCTTCCTTCCTTCTTTCCTTCCTTCCTTCCTTCCTTCCTTCCTTCCTTCCTTCCTTCCTTCCTTCCTTCCTTCCTCCTTCCCTCCCTCCCCCTTACCTTCATTCCTTCCTCTATCAGCTCCCTTCATTTTTTCCTTCCCTTCCTCCTCTTCCTTTAATCATTCCTTCCTTTCTCCCTTCCTCCCTCCCTTCATTCCTTCCTTCCTTCGTCCATCCCCCCTCCCTTCATTCTTTCCTCCCTCCCCCCCCTCCTTTCATTTCCTTCCTTCCTCCCTCCTCTCCTTCCTTACCTCCCTCCATCTAGTCCCTCCCTTTTCTATCCTCCTTCCTTCCTTCCTTCCTTCCTTCCTTCCTTCCTTCCTTCCTCCCTTCCTTCCTCCTTCCTCCCTTCCCCTCCCTCCCCTTCCTTCCTTCTCCTTTTTACCTTCATTACTTCGTCCATTCATTTTCCTTCCTTCCTTCCTTCCTTCCTTCCTTCTTCCTTCCTTCCTCCATCCATTCCTCCCTTTTCTTCCTTCCTTCCTTCCTTCTCTCTCCCTCCCTTCCTTAACTTCCTCCCTTCTCTCCTTTTCCTTCATTCCTTCCTCCATCCATTTTCTTTCCTTCCTTCCTCCATCCATTCCTTCCCTCCCTATTCTTCTTTTCCTTCCTTCCTCCATCCATCCTGTCCCTTCATTGTTTCCTCCCACCCCACCTTCCTTCCCTCCTCTTTCTTCATTCCCTCTCTCACTTTTTATTCCTTCTTCCCTCCCCTTCCTTCTTTTTCCTTCAACCATTTTCTTTCTTTCATTCCCTCCCCCCCTAAATTCCTCTTTTTTCTCCTTTTCCTTCATTCCTTCCTCCATTCATTTTCATTCCTTCCTTCCTCCATTCATTCCCTCCCTCCCTCTCTTTTCTTCCTTCCCTTCCTTCCTCCATCCCCTCACTTCATTCTTTCCTCCCACCCCTCCTTCCTTCCCTCCCCTTCCTTCCTTCCTTCATCCATTCCCTCGCTCCCTCTCTCTTTGTTCTTTCTTCCTTCCTTCCTTCTTTCTTTCCTTCCCTCCATCCATTCCCTTCCTTCAGATATAAGGGGGTACAGGTTCTGTTTATTCATCCCAATCAAATGACAGCCCAACATATACTAGTGCTCCCTGTTCACTCCCTACTTACACTGTCCACTGCCACCACAAAAATCATTGTGAAAAAAATAATACAGAAATAAATTGTAAAAAATAATAACAAATTAGATAATAAAAATTAAAAAATTCTGACACCCACACCATTGCTCTACTGACACCATCCACTTGCCACCCAAAAGCATTTTGAAAATAAATGATAAAAATAATAAAACATTAATTTGTAAAAAAAATAATAAAATTGTAAAAAAATATAAAATAATACTAATATAAATGAAGAACTACTGACACCACCCTACACATACTACATACACTGTACATTCCCTATTTAACCACTTGCCTACCAGGCACTTATACCCCCTTATTTACCAGGCCAATTTTCAGCTTTCAGCACTGCCGCACTTTGATTGACAATTGCGCGGTCATGCAACATTGTACCCATATGAAATTTTGATCATTTTTTTCTCACAAATAGAGTTTTCTTTTGGTGGTATTTAATCGCCACTGGGCGCTTTACTTTTTGCGCTATAAATAAAAAAAGTGCAAAAAATTTGAAAAAAAAGTTTCTTTGTTTCTATTATAAAATTTTTCAAACAGGTAATTTTTCTCCTTCACTGATGTGCATTGATGAGGCAGCACTGATGGGCACTGACAGGCGGCACTGATAGGCAGCACTAAAGGGCACTGATAGGCAGTACTAATGAGGTGGCGCGGATAGGCGGCACTGATAGACAGCACTAATGAGGTGTCACGGATAGGCGGCACTAATATGGAGCACTGATAGGCGGCACTGATAGGTGACACTGATGATGGGTACTGATAGACGGCACTGACTGGCATCACTGCTGGGCACTGACTGGCGGCACTGACTGGCAGAACCGCCGGGCACTGACTGGTGGCACTAACTGGCAGCACTGCTGGGCTGCACTGGTGGGTGGCACTGGTGGGCAGCACAGGTGGGTGGCACTGGTGGGTGGCACTGGTGGGTGGCACTGGTGGGCACAGGTGGGTGGCACTGGTGGGCACAGGTGGGTGGGCACAGGTGGGTGGCACTGCTAGGCACAGGTAGGTGGCACTTCTGGGCACAGGTGTGTGACACTGCAGAGTGGCACAGGTGGGTGCACTGCTGGGCACAGGTGGGTGCACTGCTGGGCACAGGTGGGTGATCTGCTGGGCACAGGTGGGCGGAGCTAGTGGGTGCACTGCTTGGCACAGGTGGGCAGAACTTGCGGGTGGCACTGCTGGGCACCGATCATCAGGGCACTGATCATCAGTGCCCTGATGATCGGTGCCGATCCTCGCTCTGACAACTGCCGGTTCTCGGCAGTACTTTCCTCACAATCTGACAGCGTGAGGAAAGTGCAGCCGAGAACCGGCACTTGCATTTCCCTGTGATCAGCGTGTCATTGGACACAGCTGATCACGTGGTAAAAGGCCGCTGTGATTGGCCTTTTACCACATCACGTGATCAGCTGTGTCCTTAGGACACAGCGATCACGGAGATCGCCGGGTGCGCGCCCCCTGGGGGCGCGCAGGAGAGCGCGTTCTGGGAGGACGTCATATGACGTCCACCCAGAACTGGCCGGCCGCAGTGCAGCCGTCATTCGGCTATCTGCGGTCCGCAAATAGTTAACATTACCTCATTCTGCACTATATATGTCATCTCAGATACTATTTAACCACACCCCTTTAAGCCATGCCCAATTTTTAGCGCAATTTAAAACACACCCCTCCTCTCTCTCCTCCTCCTCCTCGTCCTCTCTCTCTCTCTCTCTCTCTCTCTCTCACTCCTCCTCCTTTTTTCACCCTCTCACTCCCCTCTCTCATTCACTTCCCCCACATGGCAGCCATCTTTAAATCTGGAAGTGCCCAGTGGCTTCTACGGAAAGAAGCCGGGAACATTCATGCAGTCTTTGCTGCAGTAAATATGTAAATGCCCCTTCTATGCAGATGAGCTGCAATATGTAGGTAGGGTGTTGTGTGGGTGTGCTTGAGTGTAGGTGGGGGCACAGGGGGCCCCATTATCTCTTACTGCCAAGGGGCCCCATGAATTGTCAGTCCGCCCCTGGATGACGTCATGTGCCTGTCTCCACCTTCCACCTGGAGCTGCACTAAGACTGAACCGTGTTAATGTTTAATACCAAATTCTTCTGAATATTAATGTATGTTGTAGTCTCACTTATAGTCCTGCATGGATTTTTTATGTATGTATTTATGTATTATATTGTTTTAAAATATTTTTTTATGTGAGAGTCTCACATATACTGTAGCGCTGCACTGTCTTTTTGTATATCTTATGTGTATATCTTATTATGCACAAATTAAAACCATAGGATTTTGGATATTGAGCACTTTGGAGCTTTGTGTTACAAAATGCCCATGTGTGCCCGGGTACACTCAAAGAGCAGGTAGAAACAGGATTGCTCTCTGACTCATGTGAAATGCTTTCAAAACACATGCCAATTGTTTGACTGGCATTTCAGTGCTTTTTTTGTGAACAATATTGTGTTCTGATGACTGTACGTGGCCCATGAAGCCCCTGAAGCAATTGCGGCAGTTGCAACCAGGACTGAAACCACCTAATACTCTGCCAAGAGGAACCTTTTGTGCACATTATTTGAAACTTTTAAAAATTGCTGCAACATCAACTCACCCCCAGTAGTTTTTTTTTTGCAGCCCCCTCACTTCTGTTTGGTCTGGATTTATATGTAGAGAAATATATAAATAAAGGCATGTAAACAAATTGCAAATTAGTAAAAATAATAACTGCTTATATGTATCAATTGCTCAGCCACTGCTATTCTAGGGGAAGAGAGAGTGCACTGCGCATACATAGCTTTCGAAACTGAGACATGAATTCGTTGCTCCAATTGAAAGGCCAATGCAAGTCAAAATATTTTTTGCTTGGATGGAAGGGTTAGAACCTTTAACAGATTATGTCTCTACTCTAAGGATTTCTATTCCGTTCCTGTTCTGGTGACCAAGAACCAAGGGGTATAATGCCTAGTGCCACACAGACAGCAACACTGTTACCATTAACATCTCAATATTTTTTACTGCTCTTTATTTTCCAGTTTTAGGGATTTTTTAGGGGTTCCTGGTGATCACACAAGATGTAAAGAGAAATCTTCCCAATGAGAGTAAAGAAAGTGATAAAACATTTGACAGATGTTCTAACCTTCCCTACTTCATCCAAAACTGAAAAATATGATGTTTTGTCTGGGTTGAAATATATTTATATTATGTATATAGCGCTGTCAATTTATGCAGCGCTTTACAAATATATTGTACATTCACATCAGTCCCTAACCCTCAAAGGGTGTACAATCTAAGGTCCCTAACTTATATACATACACATACTAGGGCCAATTTAGACAGGATCCAATTAACCTACCAGCATGTCTTTGGAGTGTGGGAGGAAACCCACGCAGGCGCAGGGAGAACATGCAAACTCCAGGCAGTGGTGCCATGGTTGGGATTTGAACCAATGACCCTAGTACTGCCAGGTGGAAGTGCTAACCATTTAGCCACTGTGCTGCCGCTGTCTACCTTTCACAGCTCACACATCTCTGCCACACTGTACAGACAGGCAGGTGACACCTTTATTTTGTGCTTCAGGTTTCCAGCTTTGAATGTGACCTTTCTGCATCCATCCTGCTCTGTCCAATGGCGCAAAAAGCAGTAAAGCTGAATGATAAAGTAATAGAGTAATCTTCCTAATAAAAGCTGTGTGAATCACAAAACTGGCTGAACAGAACTTCAAACTCTTTGGAAAGTAAAAGATGAAGATGATCACACATGTTACAATCTCAGTGTATAACTTCCCTTACATCTGCCAGCAGCTGTGTAGTACAGGGACCTGCCTGATAAAGACTGTATGGACCGTATGGGTAATCCCTAATATTATATTAATAGCTCTATACAATCAAATTTTAACATCTGTATAATAAACATATATGTATTTCAACTGTGTTTGGTTGTTTTACTGGACTTGCAATTTAACTACTCCAATACTGGCCACTTTTACCCCCTGCCTGCCCTTCCTGCCAGGCCATTTTTTAGCTTTCAGTCGCACTTTCAATAACAATTGCGCAGTCATGCAACACTGTACCCAAACTAAATTGTTATAATTTTGTTCACACAACTAGAGCTTACTTTTGGTAGTATTTAATTTAATTGAATTTCACTGCTATAAGCAAGCACTTTTCTGAATGAAATTGATTCATAACATTTTTTGTTGTTGTTGTGATTAGCTGTGACTAACCACAGCTAATCACATGGCACAGATGGACTGTGATTGGCACAGTCTGTACCATGTGGTCACTGTGAACAATCACAGCTAGCAACACAATTGTACACAATGGATGGCATGAAAGGAAGCCATCCATTGTTTAACGTTGTCACTTGACCTTCTGTGATTGGTCACAGCAGTCACATGGTGTTGGCAGTGGGCAGTACACTGATCAGTCATCAGCTGTGTCCCATGGACACAGCCGGTGACAATTTGTGTGATCCGGTAGGATGTCATATGACAACCACCAGGACTGATGAAAGAAAGGCCAGCCTGGTTGTCATTTTGCTATAGGCGGGTGGGAACTGGTTAAAGTATATGTAAACCTTACCACTGGTGAATGAAAACAAACAAGGGCGCACTCTCATCGTGCATTACTGTGGTAAACCACGGATTTTTATTAACTAAAAAGGATGTATACTCACAAACCAATGTGATTATAGGCAGTATGAGTGATCCACAAAGACAGTCACAATACAACTGTGTCTAATGATGCGGATAAGCTGATGCGTTTCGGGGGCTGAACCCCCTTCCTCAGAGCTAGAGGTGTATCTGCTGGCCACAAGCCTATATACTAATGGGATGTCAAAAGACACTCCCACCCACTATCAGCTGACAAAAAAAATCACGTTTGTTTGTGAGTATACATCCTTTTTATTTAATAAAATACGTGGTTTACCACGGTAATGCACGATGAGAGTGCGCCCTTGTTTGTTTTCATTCACCAGTGGTCAGATTTCCCGATCTCAGAAGGGCAGCACCTCTTCGATTGGCATTTTGGCAATTCCTTGGTTTGCATGAAGATTTGAGCGCTGGTTTCGTTTGTCTATCTCTTGGAATATGTCAACCTTCACCTTGTAAAACAACCCATTCAGTTTGAAATAGAGATGAAAGGCAAAACATTTGTGTATACATATTAAAAAAAAATTATAAATATCTTTTTTTCCCCTTTTTGGAGGCTTGGTTCACATAAATGCATTTTGTATTTGATGCTTCCTCTAGTGCTTTTTGCAGTTTGTTTTGCATTCTTCTACACGTGTTTTTTGACGCGTTTTACCGTGTTTTGTTCAGCTCTTGTTAAAGTGGAAATTTTTTGTTGCTGGACAGAATAAAAATGCAAACACGGCAAAAACGCACTACTATGCATTTAAGCAGGTTCGCCATTGAACTCTATTGTAGCAAAAACGCTGCTCTTTGCTCTTAAAAAAGTCCCTGACTGTTTCCAAAAACAGCAGCTCAAAATAAGCATAGATGTGAACATGTTCCATAGGAAACCAAGTTAAATGGACTGTAGAATGTTTCTGCAAAAAGCACAAAAAAACACATTGGTGTGAACAGAGCCTTATAAATGATCACATACCCTCATAGCCTCGCATGTTCTCAGCTTCATAAGTGGCTTAGATACCTTGGAGAGGAAAAACAAGAACACGCTAAACTTTTCAGTGAATAGCTGTGCTGGGGGGCATGGCAGCAGAAGACTGATCATTGGAGGAGAGCAGGATGGGTACTCAGCACAGTTAGAAAACTGACCATACTGTACTCTTATGCCTAGTGTAGTCAGTTTTAATAGGTGATCAGGGGGACTGGCAGGAACACCAGGAATTTCACACAAAGGAAGCAATACTACGAGTACAGGATACTTTTCATGCAAGTACATGGTACAGCCAGGGGTGGACTGACAACTCATGGGGCCCCCGGGCAATAGGGGATCATGGGGCCCGTGTCCTTGCCCAAACTCAAAAAAGCCTATGAAAAAGGTACAAGGGGCATCTCATGGGGCCCCCTACTGACCCCGGGCCCTAGGGCAGTGCCCGAGTTTCCAAATGGTCAGTCCGCCCCTGGGTACAGCAGGCACATATCAGGAATATGAAATACTTGGTTTACATATTCTTTAAGTTAGACAAAGTCGAGTTCTTCTACATGCGTCACATCCTTGGATATAATTATTTGTATATGTATAATCTCTTACATAAGACAACAGAATACACTCTTACAATAATCACTTTGCACCTCCACTTCATTCCATCTGTTGCTTCTGATATGTGATAATTACACTCGTATTTCTCTCACTGCATATGAGCATTATAGATCAGA